CACTTGAAGAAACTCAATCAAACAAAGATTCCTCTTCTAAAGAGTCATCTTCTAAACTAACCCCTTAACTCATAGAATACCATTATCACAATAGAATCTCAAGTGCCCTTTATGATCACCTCTATGATGTGTATCATGCTACTACATCCACCGCCAAAGAACTTTGGGAAACTTTAGAAGCGGAATATGGAATTGTAGATGCTGGGATGGATAGGTTCACGGTCTCAAACTTTAATGATTATAAGATGGTTAATAATAAGTCTGTGGGGGAACAAATACATGAGTATCAACAGCTATTAAGAGGTATTGAAAATAAAGGAACGAAGTTCAGTGAGGACTTTAAAGTCTCCTGCCTTATTGATAAATTGCCTCAATCTTGGAATGACTTTGCTAGAACCTTAAGGCATAAACAAGGAGAATTTACTTCGGTTCAATTCATAAATTCAATTAGGATCGAAGAGAAGCATAGGTCAAGCCAAAAGAAGGAAACCGAAAGACAAGCAACTATGAACTTAGTTGAGAATGACACCAACAAATATGGAAAAAACAAAACCAAGTTCACCATAAATAATAAGAGGAATTTCAAACCTAGAAGAACAAATTTTAAATTCAAATCACCCAACCAAAATAAGAACTTTCACAAGACTAAGGAGCAAGGGAGAGAGAAGGGGGTTTGCTTCGTTTGCGGAAGAACCAATCATAAGGCTAAGGATTGCTTCTACAAGAAGACTGAGGAGAACAAGTATAAATCAAATCATAATGGTCCAAAAGCCCAAGTGAATATGCTGATGGAGCAACAATCTTCTCAAACACATTTTAAGTATGATTCCTTTGTCAATTTTACTTATGAAAATAAGGATTGGTGGGTAGATTCTGGAGCTAACATACATGTCTGTTTTGATCGTGAATTTTTTAAAACCTATCAAAAATCAGGTGGAGGACGTATAACTCTATGAAATGACTCAATGTCGCAAGTGCTTGGAATTGGAGACATTGAACTAAAGATGACATCTGGAAAGGTCTTAACTTTGAAGGACGTGCGACATGTACCTGATATTAGAAGAAATTTAATTAGTGGATCATGCTTAGTAAAGCAAGGCTACAAAGTTGTAATGGAATCAAATAAGGTTGTAATAACCAAGAATAATGTATTTATTGGAAAAGGTTTTATCAGTGAAGTATTATTTAAGTTAAGTGTTTCTTCCGAGTGCAATAATATTCCAAAAGTTCGTAATGTTGAATCTAGTAATGTTTGGCATGGACGTTTGGGACATGTAAACTTGTTCAAAATTAAGAAAATGATGGATTTGGATCTAGTCCCAAAGTCAAACATGAATCTCAAGCATAAGTGTGAAATTTGTGTACAAGCAAAACAACCCAAGAAACCTTTTAAGTCCATCGAAAGAAATACCCAAATTTTAGAGCTTTTACATAGTGATGTTTATGACTCAAATATACTACCTACTAGAGCTGGTAATAAGTATTTTGGCACATTTATAGATGATTGTTCGAAGTATTGTTATATTTATTTGATAAAGACCAAGGATGAAGTCTTTGGTAAATTCAAGATTTACAAGACAGAAGTGGAAAATCAATTAGAGGAAAGGATAAAGAGACTTAGGTCTGATAGTTGTGGTGAGTACACTCTTACCGATCTTAGTGTTTTTTGTAAAGAGCATGGTATTATAAATGAAGAAGCAGCACCCTATTCTCCACAATCAAATGGAGTTGCAGAACGGAAGAATAGGACTTTATTGGACATGGTGAATGCAATGCTTTTGAGTTCTGGATTACCGGAAAATTTGTGGGGGGAAGCAATTTTGACTACATGTTTTATATTAAATAGAGTAATTATTAAAGACAACACTACTACTCCATATGAAATTTGGAAAAAGAGAACACCAAATCTCCAAGTCTTGAAAGTGTGAGGGTGTTTGGCTAAAGTTGCAATCCCAGAACCTAAGAGAAAGAAGATAGTACCTAAAACCGTGGATACTGTTTTCTTAGGTTATGCACATAATAATAGTGCCAATAGATTTCTAGTGATCAACTCTGAAATAAATAAAATTTCGAATAACACTATATTGGAGTCTAGGGATGCAACATATTTTGAAGACATATTTCCTTTCAAGACTAGAATGCAAAAGCAAGTGGTAGATAGATCATGCACTAGTACTGACAAAGCCTCCACAAGTATTAGCCATCAAGTTTCAAATGAAGAAGAACCTCTAGCTGAACTTAGAAGGAGTAAGAAACCTAGAGTGGAGAAGAACTTTGGTGATGATTTTTATACGTTTCGAATTGAAGGTGATCCAACAACATATAAGGAAGCCATGATCTCCGTCGATGCTCCATTTTGGAAAGAAGTTATAAATAGTGAAGTTGAGTCTATTTTACAGAACACTTGGGAGTTAACGGATTTACCACTCGGTACTGCACCAATTGGTTATAAGTGAGTATTTAGGAAGAAACTAAAGCCCGATGGAAGTATAGACAAGTACAAAGCTAGGCTAGTAGCCAAGGGATTCACTCAAAAGAAAGGAATCTATTATTTTGACACTTACTCTCCTGTGTCTAGGATTACCACAATTAGGATCCTTATAGCGTTAGCTTCTATACATAATTTAGTAGTTCATCAAATGGATGTTAAAACAGCATTTTTGAATGGAGACTTAGATGAAGAAATTTACTTGGAGCAACCCGAAGGATTTATAGTGAAAGGCCAAGAACATAAAGTGTGTAAGTTGGTTAAATCGTTATATGGACTCAAGCAAGCTCCTAAGCAATGGCATGAGAAGTTTGATAATATATTACTATTTGGAACAAGTCTGGAAATTGTGAAAAATGTAAAGTCTTATCTATCAAAGATATTTGATATGAAAGATCTAGGAGAAGCCAATATTATTTTGGGAATGAAAGTAGAAAGAACACAAGCAGGTTTTATTATAAACCAAGCTAGTTCAATTGAGAAAATGCTTAAGAAGTTCAATTTTTTCAATTGCAATCCTATATCGACACCGTATGAACCAAGTGTGTGCTTACTTAAAAATAGCGGTGAACCCCGTGTGTCAACTCCAGTATTCTCTAATGATTGGGTCTTTGATGTATATAGCAAATAAACTAGACCTGATATAGCTTATGCGGTTGGAAGGCTAAGTAGATACACTCATAATCCAAGTAAAGAACACTGGAATGCTTTAAGGCGAGTATTGAAGTATCTAAGAGGAACTATGGATTATTCTATACACTATAAAGGATTTCCTTATGTAGTAGAAAGGTATAATGATGCAAATTGGATCACTAATAGCTCCGAAGTGAAATCTACTTCAGGTTATGTATTTTTATTGGGAGGAGCAGCTATATATTGGGGATCTAAGAAACAAACAATAATTTCTAAAAGTACAATGGAATCTAAACTTATAGTTTTTGATACTGCATGTATAGAGGCTAAATGGATTAAGAATTTTTTACTTGATATCCCATTAGTGAGCAAGCCTATACTTGCCATCTCCATACATTGTGATAATAAGGCTGTAATAGATTTAGTGAGACAGACACATACAAATAAGAAATTAAATAGACATATTAATGTTAGATACAAATCTGTGAGAAGCTTATTAAATAAAGAAGTTGTTTCTTTGGACTATGTGAAGTCGGAAAAGAACATTGCCGATCAACTGACCAAAGATCTATCTAGAAATGGAGTCCTAGATTTGTTGAGGGGGATGGGCTTAAACCCATAAGGAAGTCACCTAGGGAAGAAACCCAACCTTTGTGATTGGAGATCCCATGAAGAAGGTTCAATGGGTAGAAACAATCCATAATGCGTGACTTATATTCCAACACTCTAAAATAGGATATTTGAAATAAAATCTCCTGCTCATCCCTATGACATTTGTGCTGATGATATGTGTGTTAAGGAAAGACATTGTCTTGAATGAGTTCCAAGACGGGCAATCTCCTGCAGAGTACAGGTCACATGTACTCTTGGAGGACTCACCTAAGTGAGAGTAGTCGTGAGGCCGCAACTGTGAGAATTGAGTTGTTCTCTAAAAACACTCATGAGAATCAAGATTAAGCGCATGGCCATTAATAATGCTAACCCGCGCTAAGTTTTTTATCAATACTATGTGTGTCATATGTTGTAATTTGAATTAGAGGAATCTAGTTCAAAACTTAGTTCACTATGATTCCTTCAAATGAAAACTATGAATACTAAGTGTAGGTTCAAGTCCAAGAGACACCTACACCCATTGCATGGTATACAAATTGTCCAAACTTCCGTTTCTTCAATTGTGTCTATTTTATTCCTCATAAAGTTTTGAATCTTGTGGGGGATTGTTGGTTATTTTAATTATTTTAATATTATTTTATTTTAAAGATTCAAAACTTATTATTATTTTATTTATTTATTTATAATATTTAAGAGTTGTGTATTATTTGAAAAGTCATATTCCTTTTTTAAAGGGTATGAGGAGTTCTTTAAATATAAAACCTCATACAAAAAACAATAAACACTTAAAACTTTTCTGTCTCCCTCAATTTTCACATCTCTATCAGTCTATTTACATTCCTACTTCATAATTCTTGGGTAATTGATCACTATTTGGTAATCCCGTCTGCCGTTGGCGTGCATATCGAATCAGACATCCTGTGAGGCTTTGGGTTGTATCTTGGAGTTGTAGGTACCGCCATAACCTGCACGTAGGGAGGCGTCTATGGCTTTAAGGCAACGACATCGTGCCTCTTTTTGGTTCACAGACCAGATTTTCTTATTCTTTTTTCCCAATTTAATTTTCATAAGTTTGATAGTGATTATACATTTGATTTGATATATTTGATCATATAAATAATTGGTATATTTCTGCAATATATTACACAATGACAAGCCAAGAAATAGAAATTTGCAATCTTATGTATATGTTAGACGCAAATCATAGGTTTAATTTAACTTTTAACTTGATGCTACGTATGGAACTAGTCGTGAAGGAGCAGTTTGATGTGAAAAAGGAGATGCTTTGCATGCACTACTATATATTTATTATCAGGAATCTACAGAACAGGATGAATACCATCGTCACCCTTATATCTGTGTTCCTAGTTAAAAATATATTACATTTTGAGAGAGAGAGAGAGAGAGAGAGAGCGAAACAGAAGACAATCTGCCTAGTTAGACGCTACGTCAATCTCATATTTCTTCATGATAGGAGAATCATCTACAGCTCTATATCCATTTACAGTTTGAGAAGGAACCGAACAAAAATCGCTGCTGGTACTAGTTGTTGGATTTGAAGTATCATAGACGGGTGCAGCAGGGTATGGAGTGTCCGACATCAAGTGCTGAAAAGGGTTAGTTGAAGGTCTAGGAATCTCCACTGCTCCTTCCAACATTTTCACCACGACACTCATTGAAGGCGTATCCTCTTGCTTATACTGGACACACCACATAGCTACATTTACTGTTCTCTCTGCCCTCTCTTTATCTTTCTCCTCTATTCCACAAACTACCATCAGCTCTCCTAATTCTCCGGGGTTCAAACTTCTTCCATACGCACCTCCAGTCTCGGCCATCTTCGACTTTGACATCAAGATTCCTTCTCCTGCCTATAATTTCAAACAATAGCATTCCAAAGCTGTACACATCACATTTGTGTGTTATTGGGAACTGCTGCCAAACTTCCGGGGCAGCATAACCCGGAGTCCCCCTCCCTCCTGTCATGGTTATATGAGTGTTGTCCCTGTTACACAGCTTGGCGAAACCGAAATCAGCTACTTTTTGGAAAGAACTTTGCATCCAAAAGAATATTTTCAGGCTTTATGTCGTAATGGACAATTCGTTGTTGGCATTCTTCATGCAAGTAAGCGATCCCTCTTTCTGTCCCCACAGCAATCTCATGAAGTTGTTCAAATCCTACGACCACTGTGTTGCTACGACATAAGTACTTGTCAAGTGATCCATTTCCCATGTACTCATAAACAAGTGCTCTGAGGTGTTCCTCAAAGCAGAAACCATAAAGACGGACCAGATTGATGTGATGTATTCTTCCGATTGTACTAACTTCCGCCGTAAATTGTTCCTTGATTCTCTTATCCGAACTTCCATGTAGAACCTTCACTGCCACTGGGGTTCCATTGCTAAATATTCATTTATAAACTGCACCAAAACCTCCTTGGCCTAACAAATTGGTGAAGTTATCAGTCGCAATCCGAAGTTGTTGAGAAGTGAACCTAGCGGGCTTTTCTCTTTCCATATCATTTATAAAGTTGTCCATTGTGAGTGCCCGAAAGTCTGGAGTAACGATCTTCTCCATTGTGAGCGTCCGATAGTCTGGGGTAACGATCTGCACTAAGCTCACATTCTGACTTCTCTCTCTTGCGAGTTTCTGACATTTCTTGCACACTACAACTGCAATAACAATCTTCACTAAGACCACTACTGCAAAATTCAGAACTCATTAGTGACAAAAGAATTATTAACAAAAGTAGTGGATGCAGAAAGGAAAAAGGCAACGGGTAGAGACATAGATCTTTACCCAAGACTACAACAATAGCTACTCCCACTCCATCATTTGATGATGAGTCTGATAACTCTGGAGTCGAGTAACTCGACATTAATCAAAAGATCGACTACAATAGAGTTATAATATGCATTCAACAAACTCTCAATGTAGCAGAAATTAGATTACACTGTTAGGAGTTTCATATAAGCATGCACATTTAGAAAAGGAAGGAGTTTTGGAATAATCACACTATCGAAGAAGGAGAAGTGAGAGACAGAGAGCAGTTCTTAGTTCTTCATGGAATTCATCTACTCTCATTCCTTCATTGGTAAATCTTCTCTCAAGATTCCCTTAAAGCAGACCTTAAGTCAACAGCATTGATGCAATCCCAGCCCTTCATTTCGCATTAGGACCACACAAACACACATATATTGAGAGAAAGTTCGAAGTAAGGAATTAATAATTTCTTCAGTCTCCATTCTTCAATTCTATGACCACACTAATTAATGCTATTCTAATTTTAGTAAAACCGTGTGGGGTTTCCATGAAGATGCTGACATAACAAGACGACAACACGTTATCAGCACACTGTGCTGTGCTCTTGGACTGCTTCACTAGCTTGAGAGGACGTTTCAACAAGACTTGTCTGGCTCTCTTCATAATCAGCTGAACCCATTAAGTTTCAACCACGGTATTGTCGTATTGGTAAAGACAGAATTTTTTTTTTTCTTTTGTTGATTCTTTTTCATGCTCATGGTAGAATCTGTATCAACAAGAACTTGAAAATTTGTACATGTCCACATGTTTTTTTTTTTTTTCCATCACTGTTAAGTAAATTGGTAGCCAAAATGTCGATACACTGTAAATTGTTAGCCAAAATGTTGGTACACTGTAAATTGTTAGCCATTAATAATAATATGGTTAACCTATTAAATACATTGTAAATTGTTGACTAACCTATTAATATCCATCCGAGAAATGCTAAGAAAACTCTTTCAAAAGTGAGACTCTTCATGAACTCTATCTTAGCATTTCTCAATCCATAAACCCCTTGTTGAAATAGTGATTCCCTCCTTGGTCATGGCAGAGGAGAATATTTTTTAGCTTAGTGAACCCACTCACGAGGAGGTGTATTACGAAGTAAAAAGTATGGATTCTTCTAGTTCTCCAAGGTCAGATGTGTTAGTGGTTGCTTTTTTGTTGCATGCTGGAGTATTGTTGGTTCTAATGTGGTTCTAACTATCCAAAATCTTTTTCGTTGATGGAAGAATTCCTCTTCGTTTCAGTTTTTGGTGGTTCTTATTCCAAAAGTTCCAAGAGCAGATTCAGTTTCGCAGCTTTGCGCTATTGAGTTGGCCAATTTTGCATTCTCATTAACAGACGGGGGCTAACTTCATCTAGAAGTGTCTCACCTCAGGAACATGGTTGTTTCATTTTTTATGCAACTATTCTTATTTCTGAATGCATAAAAAAACTCTTGATAAGAAATGAGTGTGGGTAATGTGGTCATAAAGTTAGGCATTCGAAAAGCTTTTGGGTTTTCTCATGTTTTCGTTATCTGGATTGAAGAGCTTTAGGTTTTTCTTCTCCTGCTCGAGGAGAAATTTTTAGTTGTAATGGGAATACAGATGGTAAACCACGTGTTTTTATGTAAGTGGTGGAAAATTTTAATTTTTAAGTTATTAACCTTTTAACACACATAACCCACAATTTATATAGGGACACATGGTGTACCACCTCGTATGACAGTCACACTGAAAAATCTGTTATGCTCGAGAAGGGGTTCTCCAAGAGGATCCCTTAAACTATAATTTATTTTGTGTAATGACGTGCTTGAAAAGTTGTTAGTAAGGTGGTTAGTACCATATTTCTATTGTCAACATAAATTACTAGGTTATATTTTAACCACCATATTTTTTAGGGTGATACTTTCCTCTGATTTTTATAATTTGCCAACTTTTTGGTAGCTCTAACTCTCAAAGTTTTAGTTTACTACTCTCCACAAACCCATCCCCAATGGCATTTCCTGTGGAAGCTACATCATACTTATACAATTCATCTGTTTCTTCTTTCTTTTTATTATTGGTCGAATGAGGATCCTCTCCAGATTCTCTTTGTGAGGATTCTGGGAATTCTCAAATCATGTCTATTCATCATACATCGTGCGGTTAGTTTTTTTCAGATACTATTCATATTTAATTTTAAATAAAAATATTTAAAATAATTTAAGATCGCATGATTTACGATGAACAGACACAATTTAAGAATTCCAAAGAGAGGATTCAATTCTACTTTTCTCAGCACTGATTTGGATTCTCCAGCAAAAAGGTCAACAGAACCACACACACACATATATATTTATATATATTATAATGATTTAAGTTTTGTTTATACACCAACTAAATTGAAGGATTATTATATCCTAGGTCTACTAATCCTAGATATCTGCTAAAGCATAAGAATTCTCTAGGGTCAAGTACTCTTCCATGATCAGTTCTCTGAAAAGGGCATTTGCTGGGAGTCTCGTTTTGAACGTTGTGCTAGCTATGGTGTCGTCACATCCAACGATCATAGCCTTTTTCGACTTGAACCTCTTCACGTGTGTAGGAAGCGTCTTCTTCAGATTATTCCTCATGTTGAAAAGATGATCGGACTTCTTTTTAATTGAGCAGTAGGACGAATATTCGTATACCAAGGAAAGTTTGTTGAAGCTCTAGATGGACCACGGCGGTAGGGTGTGGAACTAGTTTTGTGTCTCGTTCTGCAAAGTAGTGGCAAAGATCTTGCACATGAGGGTGTCATTGTTCCTGTGGAGGATCATTGTATTGTGGTAGTGTTTGAGGTGCCTCTCTAAATCTTCGTCTCCCTTGAATAAGGCTATTAAGCAAAAATTGTACAAGAAATGTAACGAATAATTTACTCCGCACAATCTCACCTTTATTTATTTTTCGAGGAAGGTTTAAATAATTTGAGTTTGACCCATTCTAGACTATACGTCTATTAATTACAATTCTTCGTTAAAAAAGAAAATCTTTTGATTCCAATATGAATATATTGTAATTGGGAATTTGGGTGCTTATTTGATTCTGTGGTTGCACGTACGTCGAGCCCTGGATTGCCTACGTACCCTTTTTTGAGAGATCAAGCCACTCGAAGTTGGGGATTTTCAATGAGTGAATGACCCTCTGAGAGAGAAAGATTTGGTGTTCGACTTATTTGGACGCTTTGAATTTGTTTGATTGAAATTGGTTGAATGAACCTGGAATTCGATTTACCAAGGATTCAATTTTGGGGTTTTGTCTTTGTGCGGTTGCATCTAGTTGAATCTCTAGATTGCCTACATACCCTTTGCGGATCAAACCTAATGTAGTTCATTGTTTTCAATGAGTGAATGACTCACTGAAAAAGAAAGATTGTATTTGAAGCGGCTTTGTACCTTTTGAAATTTGGAGAGATTTTGTGCCATTTGAAATAATTTACATCCATGATTTTAAAGTGGTTCGCATCCACTAATTTAATGTGGTTTGAAGTTGTCTCCATGCTTTTTCTTTTAAACTGTTTGAAACCGATGTACATCTGTCACGCCATTGCATTCCTTGCCATTTGTTACTCTCTCAGTTTTTTGCCGTCTGTCTTCTCCTTAAGATTTATGTCGTGTCTTTTTCTGTTTCTGTTTTTTAATCACATTTTATAGAGTGAAAGCATGGAGCAGTTACTTGCCATTCTCATATAGTGGAGGTGTTGGACGAACCACTATGTTGAAGACGTGGGAGTGTGGGTTTGTTCTGGAAGAAAACTACCTCTTCAGAACATGATTGCATTTAATCTCATCAATATGAATGGATTGGACTCTATTTATCAATGGGTTTCAGCCCACTTTAATTTTTAGTACAGATTTTTTTTTTTACTCCAAACTAGATAGTAGATACATGAGGTGTAGCTTTACCAGGCTGCCACACGACTCATACACACATGCTTCTTTCACTACAAGAATACCACACAAGAGTCCCCAATTGGTTAAGTACCAATTGTTGCTTAGATAGAAGTTTTTTCATGCATCATTTTCTCAACAATTTAATTTGATTTCCATCAAAGAAAGAACATTTGTTGGAGGTCATGACTTGACTATTTGGCTGTTCGCAAGAAAACGATCGATGCTTTGTGACCATTAAACGAACAGTGCACATAGCCAAGAAAAGTGTTGCATTTTGCATGATCCAGCCAGATCTTATAGGAAAGTTCTACCTATTTATTTCAGCTTAACTTTTATAACTGTTGCTACACATACAATACAAGGAACTACTTTACCAGTGAATGAAGAACAAATTAATGCAAAATTATCTTGGGTTGAGTCACGGACAATGTCGCTTTCTTTAAGACATTTTGCGACTCTGCCCAAGTTGTGCAAGCAGTCACAAGTGCCACACTGTTCCCAAGATCAGCTCTGCCTAGATTAATCCTTCTTTCCACTAAGGAAGATCCAAACATTTTTCACCCACTCAGTTACTAAGTATTCTCAAGGTTTTTGTTTCAGGTTTTTAGGTCAGTATTCACTATTGTAAAACCCTAATATGTATATAGCTGAGTTTTAACGTTGGAGAAGTTGAGGAAAAAGTGCTCACCAAAATCCGACCACAAAATTAGGAATCAAAACCATTTAGATGAGGAAGAATAGGTCTTTTAGTACAAAACAAAAACTTTTTGTTCAAGAAAAGATTTCCTGATGTGAAGCAAAAAATAATTCCAAAAATCTAAGAAAGCTCTCATATTTAGAATTTTCTGTTACGTTGAATTTCCCACAGGCTCCTAGTCATTGAATTTTTCCAAGAAAAGTTCATTGATCAGTCATGGGAAAATGATACAATTGTAGGAAATTCTGAAACCATGATGAACATATTACTTTACATCGAAGGAAACAGACTGGGGGAAGGAGACCAAGATGTGGCCTCGCGCCAACGATCATCTAGGCTCAACGAGACGGCAGGAGGAGCTCAATCGTCGCGAAGTACAATCACCACCACGCCTGCAGCCTAACAGCTATCCTAGGAACATCAAGCCACAGCTCAAGTTGTTACCCCACAGCCCTTACTACACGCCAATCCAACAAACCCTAGGCAGGGGGCCCAGATCCATGAAGCTGCAGCCTAAGCGCAAAAGGCCCAAGCCTACCAAAAGAGATGAGCAGCAGCTGCTCCTATGGCTCACGAGTCGCAAGCCCACCTCGCTACAGATGTAATCCAAGCTAGGAGAACGAGCAGCGCATCGCTTAGCAGCCAATCAGGCGGGTTGGCATGTACACGCACTGCGACTCCCTCTGCTATCTAAACAGGTCCAAGTTCGATTCAGCCGACCCAGCTTCACATCACCGAACCGGCTCAGGCCTGACTAGTCGACTTACTGTGAAATTGGGGTATTTTCACCTCTTTTCTTTTTTTGCAGGCTTGCCCTATCCGGGCCCAAGGTTTGTACCTACAAAATG